ATACCTTTGTGGATGTTAGATTCTAGTTCTTATGAGTTATCTCTGAGTATTTGTTGTTTGCCTATAAAACTGGGCTCGATGCTGAATTTTTCTGGTTTCTTCAAATACCTGGTTCTGACTCTCAGAACTAAAGTTTCCCATTTCCTCCCATACATCAACGTGAAACCACTGAGAATTAAAACCATCTTTTTAATTTTTTAAATTTAATTTAAATTTAATTTTTTTCACGAAGCCTTGAAGACCGAAGCTAGATGGCTTGAGGTAAACTTCCAAGAAATTGCCTCAACAGCTCATTTTTTTTTTTTTTAAAGATTGTATTTATTTATTTGACAGAGATCACAAGGAGGCAGAGCGAGAGAGGATGAAGCACGCTTCCCACTGAGCAGAGAGCCTGATGTGGGGCTTGATCCCAGGACCGAAGGCAGAGGCTTTAACCCACTGAGCCACCCAGGCGCCCCTCAACAGCTCATGTTTAAACAATCTTCATGTCTGTTGCTGTGGGGGCTGCTCAGGAAGATAACAGAGACATGCAAACTGCAGGCCAGGGCGATGTGTCAGCCCTCACTCCATCTGAACATGCTTCAAGCCCAACAGCTAGAAATCTCGCCAACGGCACTCAGGACTCAAGACACTGGGTTTACTACTTGCGCTAACCATTAACCTGTTTTTCTTTTGTTTCCACAAAATCCCTCTCGTTGATTACTTGACGGCTTGCACAATACAGATCTAACTTTGAGAGCCCGCCTGCAGTGCCTCCTGAAATGAGACGACTGATTAACCAAAGTAACCTACTCTCAAGACTAAGACTGGTTCACCGAATCTGGAGCAAACTTCTTATAACAAAACAAAAGAATAGTTAAACTTCAGCTAAGAGGAAACAATGTTGGTCTGTGATGTTTTTCTAAGGAAAAAAAAAAAAGACAAACTCAAAGGAGGAAAATATTAATTCATCACCACACCTCGGAACTTTCGCTGTGGTGTGGTGACCCCTTAACAAATCTTCCTAGTACTTGCTCATGAGGCTGCTTGGAAGGAAAGGGCTCTGACCCTGGAGAAAGGAAGACCAAAACAAAACAAAACAAAAATACCATCACTACCACCACCAACAAAAATAACACAAAAAACACACAAGAGCCAGGATCCCCCAAAGCTTGGAAGATGGCACACCCCCAGAGCACAGACTTCACCCCACTGCTTTTGGAGAAGGAATCTGCTAACTGTTCTTGTGAGCCTGTGACGGACCTCAAGGTGTTACTCAGGAGACAGACACACTGGCAGATGAGTAGGACTCCTTGGGGTTGTTGGTTTTGCTCCATAATCCCCACCTCTTTTTCTTGGAAAGATAATTCCATGGTCAGAATTTCATGAACTTTAGCATCTTCAGGTGACTTGTCGGACTGCTGAATATGGTACCTGAAGCCCTTCCCCATACATGACCATGCCGACCCCACAGCTATGCCCACAACCTTTCTCTAATGAGCCCAACTTCATGGTAACTTATGGAAAATCAACTACAGTCGCAACATACCAGATCAAAATTACTTATCAGAAAGTATTTTACTCACTGGAGGACTCTATGTACCCTGCTTCTTTTTAACACCCTCAACAGTGTCCCCCGTAATGATCTCTGGAAGCTCGTGGACGGACGCGAGAACATAAAGTCATAAAAACCAAACACTCTCTAACAGACAGACCGTGACTACTTGTTTTTTTCACGTAACCCATGTTCTGGGCCACCATCTCCTCGTTTTAGTTCAGCAAAGCTGGATTAATCAGTCTTCAGGTTACACTACCTCCTGCTACATACAAATCAGAGGTCACAAAATAGTGCGAACCTTAAGGGAATCTCTTCCCCTTTCCAGGCACATAATATGAATTTCAGTGGAGGGACACCTGGGTGGCTCAGTAGGTTAAGCCTCTGCCTTCGGCTCAGATCATGATCTCAGGGTCTTGGGATCGAGCCCCACATCGGGCTCTCTGCTCAGCGGGAAGCCTGCTTCTCCCTCTCTGCCTGCCTCTCTGCCTACTTGTGATCTCTGTCTGTCAAAGAAATAAATAAAATCTTTATTTTTTTTTAAAGATTTTATTTATTTGACACAGAGAGAGAGACAGCAAGAGAGGGAATGTAAGCAGGGGCAGTGGGAGAGGGAGAAGCACTAAAGCTAACCTAAGCACTGCTCTGGGTTATACCTCAGTGGAACAAGGAGGCGTGTATATAGTACGTTCATCAGGCCGCACACGTATTCACACTTCCCCAGAATGGACCTTGCTCGCGGCACACACACTAACGCTCCCTCTGAAACGGATGTTCCCCTTGACACAATAAAGACAATAAGCTACTTGGTTGCAACAAATCTCTAAAGTCCCAGACTCCGATTTGGACGGTTTTCCCGGATTATTTTCTTGGATTTCCCAAGGATTTAGGTCCATTTGACTCAGAACATTTCCTCAAATGTGGAATTTTCCGGATTCCTAATTCTCCTGTGCTCCTTAATCACAACACGTGGTACAAAACATTGTACAAAAACTATGAACCGAAGTACAAAAATTTTAGTCATGCAGAGTGTAGGGTTTTAAGCCGGAACTAAGGACTATTTATGATTAAGCACAAAAAGGATCCCTTCCTCTCCCCGCCCCCCAATCTCTGCCCCACTGCAGCAGGAAGTAGCCAGAGCGGTCATCAGCCCCTTGCACTCAAGAATGAGGGATGATCAAAGGCCCTGGAGACCAAAGCCAGTAACCAGCGAGTAACAGGGCCACTGAGGGTGTAGGGTCCTACCGCTGTGGGGTCCTTACCCAAACCCACTGGTCTGGGAACGCCGTCTGCCGCCATGTTTCTGCGAGATAATACTCAAGCCTGACGCCGGGATAACCAAGTGTTAATTCATTTTGCAGAGACGCAAGGAGTCAGCCAGAACTGCTCAGACCACTGACCTCCGCGTAGACCCTCCCTACTTTACTAACTTCCTTTATCTGGTTTTGAGTCACATAACTCTTCTCCCCTTTACCCAGACCCCTTCCCATTTGCCTTTTAAAAAAAAAACCAAAAACCAAAAAACAAAACCCCTTGCGTTCCCCCGCAGGGAGGTCTTCCCCGCTCTCCTGGCCTCCGGAGTGTTTGGTTCTGCTGTGCATCGGGCAGATGAACTTGGGTTCAGTTATAGGATCGGGCTGGGCTCGTGGAGAGGTCCCTGCTCTCTGCTGCCCCAGAGTGGAATTGGGACTGTCAGGGGCTCTGGGACCTGAGGACAAGGACTCACGAACAGCCTGGAATACCGGCTCTCCCCGTGTCACAACCCCCGATGGGGGCTCGGAGCCTGCTCAGTCTTGTTTTGGGTTAAGCTCCGGCCCCAAAGGGCCATGACTGCTGCACAGGGGCTGGGCTTGACAAAGCAACCCAGCTGCCTTACCCAACCCCCTCCCTTCTCTCCTCACCCTCCCTGACAACTGCTTCGGTGTCCGTGCTCACCCCTTCACGGAACCCGGGCTTGGCCTAATCAGCTTCCCCTGCCTGGCTGAGAACATGTCTTATTCCAGATTAGCCCACTTCTGCGCTGGGCCAACTGTGTGGGCCCGCTGGGAAGCCTGGGCCCATGGGCCTCTGCCTTGGCCTCCCCTCTCTGTGGCAGATTTGCCAAGGTTCAGAGGTGATAACAGACATTCCTTCACAACAAGTCACAGACCGGAAACCCAAAGCCACAACATCCCTTAAGCATATTCTACCTGACCTCACGGTGTGTTGGCAACTTCTGGAAAGACACCACCACACAGCAGATCTCTGGCTTCTTGGGAGCAACTGGAAATTCCAGCCACACAAGGCCCAGAGTTCCCAGTGATAACCACTGGCTGGGCTGTCCTTCTTCCAGGACCATAGTCCCCACCACTCCCTGCTGACTCCCAGTGGCCCAGTTAATGCCACCACTTGGTCAAATCTGGCAAGCCCTTGGGGTTTTGGCCCCTGCCTCCTTTGCTACTTTATAAGCCGAAGCTGCATTCGCCTCCTTGCTTGATCCTCTCAGACCATGAGCACGAAGATCCTAAGACATTATTTATCACCTAAGAAAAATAGGGGGGAGGTGTCTAAATGGGGAGAGGGAACTTGCCCAAGGTCTCTGAGCTAGCACAGCCAGGAATCAGCCCAGGGCTTTGGGCCCAATCTAGCGCCTGGTCCATTTTCCCACGCTGTCTCCCCTGGGCTTCACCTCTGGGAGGCGCCTCCAGGACCCCCTCTGTGGGGTTTCTTCCAGAACACCCTGTACGTTTCTTTTACTACACTTATAAGAAAATGTCTCTTGCTTGTCTGTTCTCCTCCTAGAATGGACATCCCTGACCTGGCCTCATCCTGGCTCAACCCCGGGCAGAGTTGGTTCCAGGGAGGCCCTTGCGAAGGGCGCCTTCAGGAGTCGTGCCAGCTGGCGGGACCAGCCCGCCCGGAGAGGGGCAGTGTCTGCCGCTGCGCACTGCAGCTCCGTGGCGACACATGGGGCTGGCACTGACCGGGACCTTGGTAAAGTTTTCCCGAATGGACACAGCAGAAAACGAAGTGCAGAAAACACAGGCCCGAGGCTGCCCTGAAACCAAGGTGCCTCCTGTGCTATGTCTCCATTTCGAAAAACCCCCTTCAAGTCACTGCCCCATTGGACGACCTCAAACCCTAGCCTGGGACAGCGGCGCCCACCGCGCAGGGTCAGCAGATCACGGCTGGGACGCTCCCCAACATTCACCCCCGACACACCTGACGGGGCTCCCCACAGGCCTTTCTGGGAGGCCCAGCAGCTGTCTGACCTGACACATGTCCCTTGGCCTAGCAGAGCCTCAGTTTCCCCTGCTGTGCACGGGGTGAGAATAGGGCAGCGGGAGGAGGATGACACGAGACACTGTTTGCTAAGCACTCAGTGCTATGTCCAGTCGGGAGAGCAAGCAGCCATGAAGCTTCGCGGTTATCGCTCCTCAGTAAGAGCAGGGCCGATCAGCCATGGCCAGAGCCGGCGAGTCCCCACCTGTGGCCACCTTGGTGGTTCCTCTCTGCAGGAGGAGTCGCGCATTCTCCTCACTCACGTGACTGTTGTTCTTCATAAACCTGGGGAGGACAGAGGGACGCTGGATGTCTGGGGGCAGGGGAGGCCCGAGGGAAAGAAGAGGAGGCCCCCCACAAGGGACACAGGCATGTGGCAGGGGGGTCGTTCACATCGGCAGTGTGTGTGTGTGCACACGCGTGCATGTGTGCCCAGTTATAGGGAGAGGAAGAGGGGTAGAGAGTAGGTGGAAAGGGGTCTTGGGAAACGAAGGGCGTGGCTACAGAGCGGGGAGGACCCGAGGCAGGTGAGTCCCAGCTGGGGTGTCTGGAGAGATCCAGGAAGCCTGACACCTGCGGTGAGCACAGAGAGAAACAGGCTCCATGTAATTTGTGTGTAGGAGCCTGAGGCTTCCTCTGTGCCCCAGAGACGTCCTCCCTTGGTATCCCACTGCTTGCCCAGGTCTCGCACCAGCCGGCCCCTCCTGCCACCCCCCCACCCCAACCAGCACTCACCTCTGCAGCATGTCCTCTGGGCTGACTACCTGCAGGGGCTTCTGGGAGGCCTCCACCTGCAGCACGTGCTCCATGGCTCCCCGCCGGTAGATCGGCACGCGCTCTATTCCCTGGGACATGAGGGCTCTGCTGGGTGGGCGGGAGTCTGGGCTACAGACAGAAGGGCTCAGCCCCTGTCCCCACCCTTGGGCCTCGACAGCCCCTCAGCCTGGATCCCTTCTGACCCAGCAAAGGGCGGCACCAGATCAGCCCCTGAAGGTTAGCCCCGTGATCTGTCAGCCCAGCCAGCCCCGCCTGGGGTTCGGACGGCTGGAGGGGTCAGGATGGATGATGGAGGGGAAAGGAAATCTCTGCCAACGGCCAGCGCTTTGCAAGGGTTCAGTATTCGGTCCTTAAGACCCGGACCACCCAGGCTTGGAGTTTCAGCTGGCTTACTGAATGCCAGCACTCCAGCTGGTAGAGAGGAGACGGCAGAGGGCATGCAGTCCAGGGGCTCCCGGTCCCCCTTCTTGTATACCCGTTTCCACGCCTGGCTCCCTCCCACAGCCCAGCCCTGGCCACAGGCCGCCGCCTGGAGCAGCAGCAGCTGGAAGGGACACGCCCATCCAGCCCCCAAGAGTGCGCGACAGGGATGACCAAATACTGAGATTCTCTGTGCGGAGATGCTGGGGTACTGCGCTGGGTAACTCAGTGGCTGAGACAGATAAAGGGAGAGTAGCCCAGAGTCTCACCGGAGCCTCACAGTCACCCACAGAGCTCTCCATTCATGAGACCAGCACTTACTGGGCGTTACTGTGTGCTGGGGATTGGGCAGGTGGTGAGAAAAAGACAGCCCGCTTTGTGCCCTTTTGGCATTTGTGGCCATTTTACAGAGAAGAACCAAAACTGGTGATGAAGCGGGGTCATAATTGAGAGGCTGAGCTCCTGGGAACAAAGTGACAGAAGTGGACAGTGGGCAGGCAACTCCAAGGTCATCTAGTCCAACCTCCGGGTTTTACAGGTGAGGAAACTGAGGCCCAGATAGGCCAAGTGACTGGCCCAGAGTCACCCAGCAGATCAGTAGCAGAAGCCAGGACTCCTGCAGGGACAGCACTGTCTGTTGTTACTGGTGGTAGTGGCGGCAGCGGGAGAGAGCCACACGTTCCCATCTGTCCACCCTCAAGGCTGCTGTGTGCTGTTGTACAATGTGCACACAGCACAAAGGCATACAACTGAACGTGAGTGGGGTGGGGGGGCTCATCACACAGTGTGCTCCAGAGCTTCCTCAATCCACTGTCCTGACCCTCTCCCACCCCTGCTGCTTCGTGATACACTCGGCATTCTGTAGATCCCAGGCCACATACAGCGTTTCCAAGGATGACAAAGGCTTCTGCACCCCTTTTCTCTGCTCACTCCTAGGGGTACAGGCTGCATACCCTGTCCTCTCTGGGGGCCCCTTGATCCCCCTTTGTCTACCTTCTGCCACCTCCTCCCACCTCCCTGCCAAAAGAGGTAGGGCTGAGGACACCACCCGGGGCCTGGGTCTCCCCCATGATAGCATTCATGAAAGGCCCCATTCTTACTTTAGGGTCCAGGGCAAATGGCCATGTGTCCAGCAAGATAAGTTTATTCACCATCTCGGGGAAGATACTGGAAAACTACAATGTGATCCAAAAAGGGAAGAATGAGTACAAAAGGAAGAAGGCAAAGAGACTCAAACTTTTCCCTGGGGATGCTGACGTTTCCAAGGGGCTGGGACAAGAGTCTTTATTCCCTTCAGGGCAGCCTCCCCTCTCTTCGACCTGGAGATCCACACCCAGGCCAAGGTTCACACCCTGGTGGATGGCTGGATTCCAGGGTTCTCTGAGGATGGGGAATGTGGAAACTCTGAACTCTACCAGAAATCTCCAGTTTCACTGACCTCCCCGTAGTAAGGATTATTACTGCCATCTATAAAGCAGACTGCACTAGGCCATCAAATACTGGGTTCAAATTCGTGATATGAGGAGGCACTTCCTTTCCCAGAAACTTCTCCCACTGCCCTCCCACCACCTCCTGCCCCATCTGCCGGAATGCCCTACGTGGCCAGAGGTAGTCACTGCAAAGCCATCTACTCACCATTCCGCCCACCGTGCCACCTGGGGGGAAAAAAGAGTCATGGGCTGGTATTCCACCAATCCTACTAAAACTTCCTCCCAGGGGCTGCCCTACCCCAGGCTAACGGGCCTCGCCCTCTCCCACCAGGGACCAGGGCTCTTTATTCCCTATCAAACTTGGGGTTCCCTCCCCGGGGGCCACATGACCCCTTCATCAGACCTAGCCACTCGAAAAGTCACATTTCCCTTGTCACATTGGAAGACAGCCACCTCTGGGGCCCTATGTCCCTTGGGGGAGGTACCTCAGGCCAAAGGTGCCCAGTGCCCACAGCCTCCCTCATCTCTCTTACCTCTCTCTGCAGTGCCCAGAAGTGCAGGGTCCCTGTGTACCACTTCCTCTCCCTCCCTCACAGCCCCTCAGCCCAGTCAGCCCCCTGCCCACCCACGTGTAAACTGTACTCACCAAAACTATGGCCCAAGATGGAGAACTGCTTCCACTTCAAGGCTGAAACACAGAGGGCTATGTTTTAGTGGGCCCAGCCTCCCCCCACCCTCTGTCCTGCAGTCCTCGTGCTCAGGACATCTTTCCCCAGCGTCTGGGGTGGCCCATTCAGAAACTAGCTTAGAGGGATTGCAGCTTCTTTACAGGGGTGGAACCCCTGAAGGAAGAGCTCTTCTTGGCAGCCCTCTCCAACCTTCCCAAAGTCACCCATGAATTTCTAAGTGACCCCAGATCACTCCCAGTCCAACATTGTTTCCTGACTACCACACCCCACTCAACGAACAGAAGCGATGTCCCAGTGCACCCTTACACTTATACACACACACACACACACACACTCTCTCTCTCTCTCTCTCTCTCTTTCTCTCGTTCTGCCTCTTACCTGCTACAACTCTCCGGATCTCACTCACAAAGCTTTCCTGGTAATACGGGAGACCAGGGCTGTAATGGGACGAGAGCCCATGTCCCCCGAAATCCATGGCAACATAACAAAAGTCTGAGACAAGAGATGGGAGAGGAGAAGGCATCTAGGTCAGCGGTCTCTCCCACCCCTCATTCTCCCGCAGTCTATGTTACCTTGCCCCTTGGCTTCCCTTTAGTCCCACCTTTTGGAAGAAGAGGGATGAGTCTGTCAAAAGAGTTGGCATTGTCCAGCCAGCCGTGCAGGCAAAGAACTGGGGGAGTCTGCTGGGAGCCCCAGACTTTGGCAGCAATGTGGCCCCAGGGCACAGCCACCTTCAGCTCTGAGAGCATACCTGGAACACAGCCACACACTCATTCATGAAGGCACTTTCTGAGCCCCTCATCCATACCCCAGTGTGTTCAGGGCAAAAGCCCAGGGGGCTCAGGTTCCCACACTGCCCCAGGGATTACAGGGAGAGAGGCTGACATGGGTTTGGGGATACCCAGAGAAAGGAAATTTAAACTGGGTCCGCAGAGTGAGGAAAACCAGGAAAACCAGGGGCGGGTTTCATGGCAGAACTTTGTGGAATTGGCTAGACCTGGGCTCTGACACTTGCTGGGTGTGCGACCTTGGGCCGCTTAGTAAACCTCCTGAGTTCCAGTTTCCTTTTCTGTAAAACGGGGAGAAAACAGTCCTGGCAATAACCAACACGGTCTAAACTTTCAGAGGGCAGATGGGGTGGTCCCTCTCACTTCCTCACAGCAAGTCGGATCATTATCACTCTCCCTTCGCAGACCAGCACACCGAGGCATGGGGAGGTGTAGTCTGAGCCCAGAGATCCTCAGGGAGAATGTAGTGGAGTGAGGATTTGGTGCCGGACCCCAGTCTGGACCACCCAGCACCACGCTGTCTCCGGCCTAATCGGATCAGGGATGCCTTCTCCGGGGTCCGGCACTGACCTGTTCTGCTGGCCCACCCGGCCGGGCTGGAAACCTTTGCGGCCCCAGAGCCCCGCGCTTGCTCCTCTACCTTGGAGCTCCCGGAACCCTTAGAAGCCACGTGCAGCCCTCTCCCGGGGTCCCCAACCCTCCCGCGGGTCCAATCAACCCGCTCCCACTTCCGCTCCGGGGGTCGCGGGGGGGGCGGCAAGGAGGTGGGTGGGCGGCGGGAAGGGCGTGGCGTCCCCCATCCCACTCCCGTCTAAGGGTCCTGCGGCGCAGCGTCTTCACCCCTTGCAGCCATTCCGCCCTCGCGCAGCGGTCCTGACGCGGACGTGAAGTCGCGGCGGGTGGAATAACTGTCAGAGCTTCAGGCTCCGTCCCCGCCGCCCGGCCCCGCCCCTCCCTCCCGGCCCCGCCCCTCCGCCCAGGCCCGGAAGCTCCGGCCCCTCCCGTCCGCCCGCCCGGGAGTTGGCGGCGCAAGACTTCCGGCTGACGAGGGTGTTTGACTTGGCTCTCAACTCCGTCCCTGAAGTCCCTGAGCGCCCAGAGACGCCCACCCGGCGGCTAGAGAGCGCTGGGCGGTGGCCAAACCACCTCCAAAATTTTGGGCCACACGTGGGATGGTATTCGGGTGAGTGAAGTCCTTGCTTGACACGTGGGTGACGGGACCCAGGCCCTGGGCAGTCTCCGCGGCTGGCCTCGTTCCCGCGCTGGACCAGGAGCTGGCGAGGACGCAGGGAGCAGCCACAGCCAACGGGCCACCACCTGGGTCCTCAGTGGCTTGCACCATTGGAATAAAGTAGGGATGACTCCGTCCGTGATGGTTCAATGTTCGCCTGGAAGGCTAGGCTGTGCCCACCTTGTTCTGGTTGTGTCCTGGGTCATCAGTAGTGCCTGCCACGAACCAGCCTTAATATCTGTTGCACAAGTGAATGAATGTGTAAATTGGGGACATGGAGGGAAACCCCCCCCCCACCAGGTAAGGAAGGATTATGGACAATAACATTGAGCCTGGAAAGGATCAAGAACCTGGAGTCCTGAAGGAAATGTTTGGGGTACTAAATCTTATAACCAAGGCACTACAGCGCATCCTCGAGTCAGTGGCAAGTCTAGGACAAATAAGGCAAAGGGCTTCTCGTTCATTCACCACCATTTGCTAATTAGAAGGCCTGGGAGTGACCCCTCAGAGGTCCCAGTCCAACAGAAACCCTAAATGTTGAAGCGGAATCCAGCAGGTGGGGGACTGGAGAGAGAGCTGCACGGTGAATTCTCCCTGGCGGGTGATAGGAGACCCAGGCCCTGAAGGGGGGCAGTCAGGGATGTGCCACAATGCAGGCAAGTTGGTGGTGGTTGGAAAATGTGGGGAAGGGGGAGCATGGGGACTGAGTGTGGGAATAAGGAATCTGGATCTCAGGTAGGGGTCTTGGGGGGCTTGGAGCTAGGAGTGGTAAGACCATTTCTGTGATCGTACATGCACAGTGGTGTCCTTTAGTTCCAGAAATGCTTTGTCTTCCTTGACAAGTTAGGCAGGGGTGACGGACTGTGTGGTGACAGACGCAATGGGACATGACCCCTTCGAAGGGCCTCTTTCCTCCTCTGCCTTGGGGACCCACTGCCACCTCTTCATGGGTGTTGCCGCATTTATACCTGGCACCAGGCTCCAGTCTGACCTCTAGGTGCGGGCCTCTAGCACATCAGACCTCAGTTTCCCTCGGCTCAATCGGCCAGCATCTCCTCCCTCGTCCCTGTCTTCAGGTTCACCTCAGTCACCCCCACCCCCTTTCTCATTCCCCCGAGGCTTTCCCTGATGTTCCAGCGACCTTCTGTTCCGGTGACTCACCGGCTGGACGTTCATCAGCCCCGGAAGACAAGAGAAATCGCTTGTCCTGCCCCACAACCCTTCCTACCGCCACCCACTCCCCCTACAGCCCGCTCGCAGCTCTGATCTTACTTCCCTGCAGGAATCAGAGAGGTCACTACTCTACACAAATGCACACCTGGTTACAGGGGTCCTGACAAAGTGTGACCTGCACTGGCCCCACCTCAGGGCAGTCACCCTCGCATCCCCAGACCAGACTGGGCTCGGAGCAATGTCCTGCATGGTGGGCACGAGTGAGCGGGCGTGGCCTCCTGAGGCCTCCAGACGGCGCAGACTGTCTTTTGTTTGGGCACAGAATTCGGGAATGCTGCAGGTGAGTTGGGGGACAGGGTGCACAGTGACCAGTGATGGCCCAGCCTGCATGATGGAGGGGCTGGTGAGCTGGGCACCTCAGCAACCCAAGGTTCCAGAGGGAACGTGAATGTCGGCAGCCTGGGATGCACAGAAATGCTGGGTCATGATGACGTGTTGGGTCCTGGTGCTGGTAATTTTGGAGCGAGCCACATACTCTAGGGCGACTTGGCAAACTCTAGAGCTATTAAAAATTCTCTGCTACTACGTGGTCCCTGGGGTTGGTAACCCGGTCTTGGGCAGTCGACCACAGTCACAAGAGCTCTCATGCTGAGCTGACTGCCGTCCGGCCACCCTGCCCTGTCCCACTGTCCTACGGCACAGTGGCGTAAGTACTCTTTGCCAGGTCGGCATGTCTCCCCGCTCCACTCTCCTTTGTGCCCCCAGATATGGCCTGATCTGTCCCCTGAGAGCCTGAAGGGGACTGATAACAGTGGAGGGAGATGACTCTCTTATTTCTTTTAAACAAAAGCCAAACCAACAACAACACACAAATAGGAAACCCTTCCTGAGAATACCCACAGCGTCTCCCTTTCACTCGTTTGTCCAGAGACAATGGGGTGTCCTCTGATTTCACTTAGAGCTTAAAAGTCACAAAATAGGGTGCCTGGGTGGCTCAGTGGGTTAAGATTCTGCTTTTGGCTCAGGTCATGGTCTCAGGGTCCTGGAATCAAGGCCCACATGGGGCTCTCTGCTCAGCAGGGAGCCTGCTTCCCCGTCTCTCTCTGCTTGCCTCTCTGCCTATTGTGATCTCTGTCTGCCAAATAAATAAATAAATAAAATCTTAAAAAAAAGAAGTCACAAAATAGAGTTCGTCCCAGCCAACAGATCTCCTCCTAAATGCACCTTTCTGGAGTGATGTTCCAAAATGTGCAACTGCTGGGGTACCTGGGTGGCTCAGTCAATTAAGCGTCAGCCTTTGGCTCGGGTCATGATCCCGGGGTCCTGGGATTGAGACTGGCATCGGGCTCCCTGTTTAACAGGAGTCTGCTTCTCCTTCTCTCTCTGTCAAATAAATAAAATCTTTGGGGGGAAAAAAAGTGCAACCACCTGTCAGGCTTGGGCGTGCCTTAGCCCCTGGTCACCAGGAAGGTCCCCAGGGAGTCTATGGGAGGAGCAAATGCGGAGTTCCCGTGGGCCTCCCACAAGAAACGAGGCTACTCGCGCTCTCCCCGGGTGTGTGTGTGTGTGTGTGTGTGTGTGTGTGTGTGTGTGTGTGTGGTCACCAAAGCTACTTCAGATATCTTCACTCATTACAACATTTGGGTTCTTTGGGTCCGTTTCCATTGATTTTTTTTTAATTTTGCATTATTTATTAAAAAAAAAGGATTTTATTTATTTGACAGGATCACAAGCAGGCAGAGAGAGAGGGGGAAGCAGGCTCCCCACTGACCAGAGAGCCTGAATCGGGGCTCGATCCCAGGACCCTGGGATCATGACCTGAGCCGAAGGCAGAGGCTTTAACCCACTGGCCACCCAGGCGCCCCTCCACTGACTTTTTTTTTTTTTCTCTTGCTCATATTTTCCTGTTTCCTTTGTATGCTGAGTATTTTGAGTTGTGTTCTGGTTATTGTCAATGATCCAGATGTGTATAAGGAATCTGGATTCTGTTTATGTTCCAGAGAGTATTAATTTGTTTTGGCGGATGGTTAACTTGGTGGCACTCCTGTGAGGTTGGTCTTCTTTGCAATGAGAAGCAGCTCAAATTTCAGTTCAGTTCTTTGAGCCTTAGCTGGGCTGCTTGGAGTCTGCCCTATGCTTATGTAGTTTAGTGGTCAGAGCTTTGGACAAAATATGTACACAGATTTGGGGGCTCCTCCTCTCTGATCTCTCCTTTGGAATTCTCCTCCTTAATTCCCAGCTGCTGTACTTGCCAAAAACCTCTCTTTCTTTTCTTTTCTTTTTTTTTTAGAGAGAGCACATGAGGTATGTGTGTTGGGGGGTGAGGGGTAGAGGGAGAGGAAGAGAGAATCTTTTTTTTTTTTTTTAGATTTTATTTTATTTTTTTTAAGATTTTTAAATTTATTTTATTTGACAGAGAGAGATCACAAATAGGCAGAGAGGCAGGCAGAGAGAGAGGGGGGGAAGCGGGCTCCCTGCTTGGTGGGAGTCTGCTTCTCCCTCTGCCCCTCACTCTGCTCTCGTGCTCTCTCGCTCTCTCTCTCAAATAAATAAATAAATAAATAAAAATAATAAAAAAAGAAAAACAAAATAAAATGCCATAGATATTTTCTGTACTTTTCTATGTATGACATGTAATAAAAAGACAACGTTTAGGGTGCCTAAGTGGCTCAGTGGGTTAAAGCCTCTGCCTTTGGCTCAGGTCATGATCCCAGGGTCCTGGGATCGAGCCCTGCATCGGGCTCTCTGCTTGGCAGGGAGCCTGCTTCCCTTTCTCTCTGCCTGCTGCTCTGCCTACTTGTGATCTCTGTCTATCAAATAAATAAATTAAAATCTTTAAAAAAAAAGGGTGCTCTCAAGGATGGAGACGTAGCATTGGAACCATGGGCATCCAGGTGGTAAGTGATGCCATAGAGTTGGGTGAAGTAAGTGGCGGCGGGGGGAGCTGTCGTGTGAGAAGGTCCAGGAGGTCCTGAGGAGCCCTACTGTCTCCTGGAGAATCAAGGGGAGGGGATCCCACAAAGGGAGCCTTAGGCAGCATGGTAAGACCCATGGGAGGAGAAGCAGCAATGTTTGGTCTCTGGGAAATCAAAAAGAGAAGAAAGCATCAAGAAGGGAGTGGCCAATAGACTGGAGAGCTCCAGAGAGAACAACAAAAACAAGATGGAACCACGCCAGTGCTCCATGGGAGGGTGGGGTG